GAGACTCGATCGTCGGTATCCCAATACCTTGTTCAGTCTCGTTACCGGCAAGTCACTTTACTCGTACCTTAATGCATGATCCCGTGTCCAACACCTTGGTCACATTGAGCTCAATATGATGATGCATTACCGAGTGGGCCCAGAGATACCTCTCCGTCATACGGAGTGACAAATCCCAGTCTCGATCCGTGTCAACCCAACAGCTACTTTCGGAGATACCTGTAATGCACCTTTATAGTCACCCAGTTACGTTGTGACGTTTGGTACACCCAAGGCACTCTTACGGTATCCGGGAGTTACACGATCTCATGGTCGTAGGAAGAGATACTTGACACTTGCAAAGCTCTAGCAAAACGAACTACACGATCTTTTATGCTATGCTTAGGATTGGGTCTTGTCCATCACATCATTCTCCTAATGATGTGATCCCGTTATCAACGACATCCAATGTCCATAGTCAGGAAACCATGACTATCTGTTGATCACAACGAGCTGGTCAACTAGAGGCTTACCAGGGACATTGTGTGGTCTAAGTATTCACACGTGTATTACGATTTCCGGATAATACAGTTATAGCATGAATAAAAGACAATTATCATGAACAATGAAATATAATAATACTTTTATTATTGCCTCTAGGGCATATTTCCAACAGCTCCTCTCCGAACTTCCGCTTTCTACTCATGAGACATGGCTACTACCTCATGCGGAGACTCTGTGTGTGATCAGGTACTTGGAGGAGAGCCACGGGACAGCTACACTCAATGGCCAAGATGGCGAGAACACCAAGTGTGAAGATCAAGAGGAAGGACTGCTTTGGAAGCTATAGGAACCGGACGACCGGCCAGGCACGGACGTCCGACCCCTGGAGGATGCTACAGCCGAGAGGAGAAAGGCAGGCCAGAGCTACAGGCCTCGGACAACCGGCCCAACCCAGTCGACCGGCCACTCCCAGGCTCCGGACGACCGAGCCCTTACGGACGACCGTGCCAGCGACCAAAGAACGAAAATTACGGAAATCCGAAGGCGTCCGGACGACCGTGCCAGCGACCACAGAACAGAATCTGCGGACATCCGAGGAACCCCGAACGTCCGGGGCCCCGCGAGCCTCCGGACGACCGGCGCCCCACGGACGTCCGGACCCTGGATGCGTCCAGTGCAGGCTGAGGCCCATGTACCCCTTCACTTCGCCCCTCTTTTGCACTAAGACTATATATAGACCACTCCCACCTCCTAGATAGGGTTAGCATTGTGATAGAGCATTGCTCATCCGTACTCGATCTACTCCACGTGAGGGACCGCGCCTCTTCGGAGAAGATCCATCTGGATTCAAGGCCTCCATCCGGAGAAGACAATCAAGACCTCCTCACAGAGAAGAACGGTTACTCTTGTATCTTCCTTTGTTGACTTTGGATCTCGTGTCGCTTTGTGCTTTCGGTGATCTAGCCCTTGTGTGATCAATCACTTGTCGGTTGAGTGTTTCTCTCGTTTGTCCCCGTGATTTCCCTCATGTTCTTTCGCGCGTTCTTTGTGTTTCCCCATAGGATCCACTCCAAACGTGAAAGATCGGCCCTTAGGGTTCCGCCCTACATCACATCGTTACTACGCAAACAAGATTGCGAGCAAAAAAGAGATCTGATGAGAAAAGGGCGAATAAAAACGCATTTTTTTGTGAAGTGGGGGAGATGAAAACAAGAGGCAAATGGGAAATGATGTAAATTGCGAAGATATGAGATTTATGATTAGGAACCTGATAGATGTTGATCATGTCTCCTCAGCAACTGTGCCAGAAATCCTTTTGACGTTGCTTAGACTGCATCGGTATTTCCCAAAGAGGAAGGGATGATGCAGCACAGCTACGGTAAGTATTCTTCTCAGTTATGAAACCAAGGTTATCAATACAGTAGGAGAACCAAGCAACACTATGTAAACGGTACCTGCACACAAAAAACAAATACTTGCAACCCAACGCAGAAGAGGGGTTGTCAATCCCTCTACGGTAAAAAAAATAGATAAAATTATGGTAGATTGGATAAATAGATCTTGCAAAAACACACACAAAAATAAGTAAAGAAAAAGTGCAACAAGGTATGTTTGGGTTTTGGAATAATAGTTCTGAAAACAATATGATAAAAGATGGACCCGGGGCCATAGATTTCACTAGTGGTTTCTCTTGAGAAAATAGCATACGGTGGGTAAACAAATTACTATTGGGCAATTGATAGAAGAACAAACAATTATTACGATATCCAAGGCAATAATCATGTATATAGGCATCACGTCCAAGATTAGTAGACCGACTCCTGCCTGCATCTACTACTATTACTACACACATCAACCGTTATCCAGCATGCATCTAGTGTATTAAGTTCATGGAGAAACGGAGTGATGCAATAAGAACAATGACATGATGTAGACAAGATATATTGATGTAGGAATAGACCCCATCTTTTTATCTTTAATAGCAACGATATATATGTGCCTTGCTACCCCTTCTGTCATTGGGTGAGGACACCATAAGATCAAACCCATCATAGAGCACCTCTTCCCATTGCAAGAAAAATCAATCTAGTTGGCCTAATTAAACCAAAGATTCGGAGAAGAAATACGAGGCTATAACAATCATGCATATAAGAGTTCAAAGAAAACTCAAATAATATTCATGGATAGATCTGATCATAAACTTGAACTTCACCGGATCCCAACGAACACAACACAAAAAGTCATTACATCAAATAGATCTCCAAGAACAACGAGGAGAACATTGTATTGAGAATCAAAAGGAGGGAAGAAGCCATCTAGCTACTGCCTACGGGCCCGTAGGTCTATGGTGAACTACTCATGCATCATCAGAGAAGCACCAATGAGGATGACGAACCCCTCTGTGATCGTGTTCCCCTCCGGCAGAGTGCCGGAAAGGGCCTCTAGATTGGATCTCGTGATTCTGGAACTTGTGGCAGCTGGAATTGTGTTCCGGTCGCTCTCCTAGGGTTTCTGGAGTATTTGGGTATTTATAGAGCTGAGAGACGGTGCAAAAGAGCTCCATGGGCCCCACAACCCACCAGGGCATGCCTATCAGGGCGCGCCTGGGCCTCCTGGCATGCCATGGTGGGTTGTGGGCCCCACGGGCCTTCCCTCGTCCACTTCCTTGGCTCCCAAGTTATCTTCTGGTCCAAAAAAAACTCCAAAAAGTTTCGCTGCGTTTGGACTCCGTTCGATATGGATATTCTGCGAAGTAAAAAACAAGCAAAAAAACAGCAACTGGCACTGGGCTATGTGTCAATAGGTTAGTCCCAAATAATGATATAAAGTTGTTATAAAATGAATGTAAAACATCCAAAAATGATAATATAACAGCACGGAGACCGTGTCGAGTCGCATACACCGTGTGGCTCGGGCTCCTAGCCATCACCGCATTATTCTCTGAGCCACCGCACGCACATACTGTTTGTATTTCTCTCTTCACTTATTTTCCCATTAGGTTTTGTCATATTTTTTAGGCATGAATATACAAATAAGTACTTAACAAAGAGAGAGTTTTGGGGAACTAGGGCCCATTAGCGGGAGGGTGGATGCCCATCACACCCCACATGTTTCCGCACTTTTGCGTCAAGTAGTGGGGAGATCCTATTTTGCGCATAGATCGCTTATTAGCGATCATCGGCG